ATCTCGCCCCATATAAATAATTCATTGAGCGTCAAACTGTGAACAAGGACGCATCTCAGCTCCTAATCCGTTACTCATTTGAAGGGATCCAAAGGCAATATAGCTCTAGGCTAACTTTTAATTACAGCACGCACATCTACCGTCTGCTGAAACTTCTAAAAATAATCACTGAGAGTAAGCTTGAATATAATCAAAGGGTCATTTTAGAAATGAAACTTGTCAGAATTCAATTACCAAACGTCAAATCAAACCCCTCGCTAAGTCGATGTTTACCGTGCGAGTCGGTTGACCCGGCTGTTCGATATTAATCCCTGAACACATTCGCGTTGGGAGATAATCTGTACTGGCACTTTGTGACAGTCCGTAATGCACTGTTTATCCCAGCCAGTCCAAGCTGTCAGAAACAGAGCTGTCGGGGGGGGGAGAGACCGTGTCAGAGTCCGCGGGTCGACCTCATCAGTAAATGGTTGTGACGGATATCGCGACCGTCGGGTTAACGCCATCACCAAATCATATGATCTTTACGTTCTGAAAGATGACGTTAAAATCTGATCAGCTTATATGTAAAAAAAAAAAAAAAATACAGTAGCAAGAAGAGGTCTGGTGAACATAACTCCTATGGTATTCATGAGTCGTTTTTTCACACTGTATTTTCGATGACAGTAGGTATTCCAGTCAGGCATAGCATCGTTTGAGCCAGGGTTCTGGCTTTTATTGTGTTCTCAGTATAAAAACGAAAATCTCATATTTCCCAGCATGCATGCTTGAGACGCGAACAGCATGGCCAAGTCTTACGGTACGGACAAGTCTGTCATAAAATACGAAATATCATGTAAATTTAAGACTTGGTTGTGTGTTGTAGCTCTGCTTCTCTGGCAGCACGCCCGATCCACGACATATTTTAGTAAAATGGTTCAGCCGATATTGGCGCAGACGTTTTGAACAGCGAGTGGATTGTCGCCAGTTCGATCCTCAAACAAGGCAGTGAACTGGCAACAGTTCGGACACAGCAGCGAACTGGAATGGCACGGGGTACAGTTTTAATACAGCAGTGGACTGGAATTGCGGGGCACAGCTGAGACAGAACACCGAATTAGGGCAGAGAGACAGTTCGACACGGTGCGACTCGAACAAACAGCGAGATTAGAAGGAGCAGCGCCACCCTTTACTGCAGCAGATGAACGTCTGCTTCGTCCAGTTCTCATTAGTGACGTTGATATCGTCTTGCGGCTTTTCTGTTATTGATATTTTAGATAGCATGGAGTCTACTTGCGGCGTTCGCCGTCGTCTCGTAGTTCTGCCACGGTTCCCCGGTATGTATGTACCGCGCTCCCCGGTGGCCGTGGCCGCGGCGGTAGGACCGTGGGTCACATGACTGATGGCGCGCCGGAAACACCGGCCCCCTCCGACCCCCCCCCCCTCTCCACGGTACCGGTCAGACCCACCCCCGCCCATCACAGTGGAGTTGGCTCCGGTCCAAGGACTACCACGGCACCGGACAGGGGGCGAACCACACCCGGGTCACCGAGCCCAGTTCAGGTTACCTGCTTTGTTAAAGAACTGTTGACAAGGAATGATCAGCAAGTAGGTGCTATTCAACAGTTACAACAGATCGCTCGCTGGCTAGATTTAAAAATAAGCTTAAATATATGACATAAAATCAAAAATAGAAATCACAATTAGACAGAAAGCATATACTTGCTTACAGCTGATATAGCACACAATGGGTTCCCAGCGTTCGAAAGGTATGTTAGTACGTATCGTGAATGTGCCTCATAATTATGCATTATTGCCGTTCTTAGCCAAGGGCGCAACCGATGATGACTGATCGACGGAATAAATGAGCTTTTGCAATTCATCCGGTTTTCCTCTTCGCCCTGCTTTTGGCATGATGATGAAGCGATCTTCCCATAATGTGGTGTCCCGAGGCAGAGTAGCTTTTTGCTATGATTTTATTTAGACTTGCCCGCACCTCCCTTCCCCCCCTCCCCCATGGCAGAGACCATGACAGGAACCAGCCAAAGAGGCTGAATGTTGGGCAACTCTAACTCAAAAGACCCAAGAACCGGGTTTACAATGACGGGAATCTAATAAGTTTACTGGCGCCGTACACCCTGACTTTGCCCTGCGACTGTCCGGTTCCGTAGACGTTGGAAGTGGAATCACTTCAAAGATAAACAGAGGCAGTGGCTCAACTAACAACCGTAATGTTTGATAACGTCCAGAATGGAGTCCCGTGCTAAAACAGAAGTCGAACGAGACCCGCCCCGCCAGTTGGCGATCCCAGTCAACTGGCCCTGCGGGGCTCCATGACAGGGTCCATTATACAGCACCATGGAGCCCCAGGGGTACCCGGTGGGGCGGCATAGTCCGCCACAACACGGTGTGTCGGCCTCCAATTTTGCAGCATCGACCGCGGCCGAGTGGCGGCCGATACACCGCCGCCGCAATTAGGTGTTCGAACCCCGGGGGACATTGATTTTTACCTGCAGTCCCAGTGTGTGGTGAGTTGCGGCGCCGTCCGCGGCGGCGGGCCGTGCTAAACCCACGGTCTGGCCCCGCGCTGACCTCCCTCCCCCTCCCTGTGGGGGAACGGGCCCGTCTAATGGCCTCCGCAACGGGTAATGGATCGGTTGGGTGGAGGTGAACTTTTTATCAAACATGATTTATGAGGTGTGGACTACGAAAGGAGTTGGGATGCGACAATACAGGATGGATTTCGGGAGCGTTTTGGCTAGGACTCAACTTCTGTTGTTGACTCCGGAGTTCTAATAACCAAAGTTTATCTTATGAAGGACGAGAATGAGACTCGAAAGCTTCAGGCCGCGGGCGGAGAGAGAAACTTGGTGAAGTTATCTGCGTTGAGTCTGACGTAACAATGACGAGTCGCTTACGTATGATATTCACATCAGTGAACATCAGTGGGAACTGGTAAGACTTTCTTACTTCCGGAAGAGCCTGTGATAGCATCCCGTTCCGTTTACGTTAGCGATGGACTTTAAAATGAAAGTGCGGGTAAAAGTTATACATTAACGCAGATGTATTAATTAAAAACTTTGCCGGCTTCTCCAAACAAATAGAACCCTCCTCAAACAGAATACAGATTTCAAAAGCCGTTTTGGTCTAATGGTTAAATGAACGGATGTATGTTTGGGGCCGGATCCTTCAGAATCATTAGCAATACGTGCCGTAAATAGGTGGCCGTTCGCTCTTTACGGTTCCAGAACCACAGCGGGTCGGTATCAGTAGCTGCAGCTGGTGTGCTGTAAAGGCGTGTTAAAATATGTCATCTTACCTCACGAATCACATTTTATCCTCACGATACTCACGATGGCCAGTGTTTGGCCATCTGGAACAACCACCGGACAAATGGGTGGTCACGAGCTAGCGGTGACGGTCAGCGGCTGTGACCATTCCTTGGAGCCGTGCTGTCCTTTTTAGACCACACCGATAAAGAAGTACGGTGGATGCCAGATACCAGTCAGGTGACCCCGTATACCAGTAGTGCCCACTAGTGATGTCAATTACGGAAAATCGGAATACCGATACCAAACCAAATACCAACCAAAACCGTGGAGAAATACCGAAACCAAATCAACTTGGGAACAAGAGGAAAATACCAACCTTTTACCGATTTCTTAGCCTCTTAAACATTAGCAAGGGCTCATGATACCAACAAAATACCAAACACATTAGGATTGAAATACCAAATACCGTTTGGTATCGGTATACCAAAAAGTTGGTATCCGATTGACTTCTCTAGTGCCCACCATTATTGCATTTTTTCTCATCCATATTATGCAGCCTGGCATTGATTCAGCATACACAACCAATCACAACCCATAAAAAGAAAAAGTGGCAGCCCACGCCGCAGTGAAGACTAGCGCGGCCGCAGTGAAGACTAGCGCGCATCCTTACACCACCATGCCTGCCGGCGGCCCACGACGCCCTGTGCCTCTGAGCGGACCGGGGGCTCCATTTACTTCTGTTTGTTGACCGCTCGCTCCGGCTCCCTGAGCCGCGCGGCCGGCGCGCGCGCGTCTGTCAGAGCCCATAAAGCGGCAGCGCCGTGTAAATTAGTGGCCGCGACCTGACAGGCGCCGTGACCGGACCGCGCGGGACCACCTAATTGAGCCGGCGCGCCCGGCCGTCAGCGGCGGCACGGTCCCTCGCAAATACGCACTAATGTTCGGTCCCAGGGCGCTGGAGCCGCCGCCACCTCGCCCGCCCGGCCGGGAGCGGGGACATCGATAAAGGAACGGCACTCGACATGCACGGTGCAGAGTGCATGCACACTGCACACACAGGACATGAGCATTAAATGTCGGAGTGGTCTGTGTCGGGTTTTGCTTAAAGTAGGTATGTAGTTTCGAATACAGAAAAAAAAAACGGAAAATTATTGGTGCGTGTTAAACAAAACTCTACAATATCGTAGAAGAATAACCTTATGCTCACTATCTTTAAACAATCCAAAAATTAGCCTAAAATCAATGAAATCATTTTAGGCTAATTTTTGGATTGTTTAAAGATAGTGAGCATAAGGTTATTCTTCTACGATATTCAATAATGCTGCTCATTTTAGTACTTCGCCATCTTATTAAAACTCTACAATACTTAAATATCAAAAACAGTAAGAAAATTGAGGTAAGTTTTATCCGAACTAATCCCTCGCCACAATGAAAAATATTGGTGAAAGCATAAGGTAAAATTGTGCCACTTATGCAGATCAGCTCATCATAAATTCAATATCACGCCGTCTTGCAATCAGTGCGGATACCGCTCGCCGGCCCAGATTGGCTTCAGTGTTATCAAAACAATGGACTCTCGCTCCTCACACAAGCGTGGCACTCTCGTATTCAGACGGTAGACGCCATTGATTCCAAGATATGATTGCTAGCGAACACTTCCTGCCATCCCTCCTTCCCCCTCCCACCGACCCTCAAAGAGCGACCACAGCCGAGCGAACAAACACCGACCAAACGTGACCGCTCCGCCGGCAGGGAGCCGCAGTTCGCTGCCCGGCCAACAGATGGCAGGCGGATCGTCGGACGACTCGGCACTCACCCCCGTCGAGCTGATGCGCCGCTATCTCGACTCCCTACCGCAAGACTTCAGCGTGCGAGAGGAGCTGCGGTCGCCAAAATTCTGGAAGGCGTTGCGTGCCGAGCTGCTGGCGTCTCTCCTGGTGGCTGTATTCGTTACGGGCTCCACAGCACGGTCCCCGGCGCGGGAGGTCACAGCCGCCACGAGCTCTCCACCAGCACAGGGCCAACCACAGGCGACTGCGGGGTCCTCAGACGGCAGTGACGGCGCCCGGATGGCGCTGGCCTATGCGCTGACGACCGCCACACTTATCCAGTGCCTGGGCAGCGTGTCGGGCGCGCACGCTAACCCTGCCGTGACGCTCGGCCTGCTCGTGAGGAGGCTGGTCTCGCCCCTGAGGGCGGCCGCGTATGTGACGGCACAGCTAGCCGGCGGTCTGGCCGGCGCGCTCATCCTGTACGGGCTGACACCTGCTGGGGTCGGTCACGGAGATCAGGTGAGGGATAGGATGGAGATGGGCAGATGGCGAGGGGCAGGACGGGGAGAGACAGGTAGGGGAGTGACAGGTGTGCACTTAGCACACCCTTTATTTGAGGGACAGGACGGGGGACGGGAGGGGAGGGTAGGAAGACTGGATGGGGGATAGTCAGCGGGGCAGGTAGGGGGACTGGAGAGGGACAGGTCATGCTCATCGGCAGGGGCCGGACGGGTCAAAACAGGTTACATCGTCTTGGCCAGTACCGTAATGCACCTGCTTGTCTCGGCTGACCGGTCGGGATGGGGAGTGAGTGCTGACGGTAAAACGAGTCCCAACACAATCTGGGTTGAGTCACGGCAGTCAGAACTTAGCGCTGATCGGTCGGTCATCTGTTAGCACTGTTCGGTCTATCGTCTGTCCGCGCAGGAAGGTCAGTTGTCTGAATGCTGGCACGCCAGACCGGTCCCAGCTGTGACCGATCAGGCGTGTCTCCGTGCTGACCGCTCGCCGTTGAATCGTCAGGTAGCGGCGGTGCGTCCGGGCGTCTCGCTGCCCCAGGCGTTCGGCGCCGAGCTGCTGGCCACCTTCATACCCGTGCTGACCACGCTGGCCGCCCTGGAGCCGGTCAGGGAGGACGTCGGATGTAAGGCGCTCTCCGTCGGACTGGCCTACGGCGTCGGCGCACTGTTCGCGGTAAGGAAATCCTACCAACGGAGCCTACTAGTAGCGTGCCGATGGTTGGGGTCAGGTAAGGGCAAATAAAATACACTCGCAAGACTTCCTAATTTGTCACATTGCAATATGACATGCAGTCTGCTTTCAGATTTTCATCATGTAAATCATGGTTGATTGAAATAGGTTTATGATTTGTTATCGTCTAATATGAGCACGACCTTTAACTTTAACCAACAATTTAGCTTATGGTCTCAGGGAATCGTGATCCACGTTTTTGTCCACGTCCGGCAAGATTTCCTCAACATTTCTTCATTCTTTTCTTTTAGCACTTCCAGCCCGGCTGAATGGTTAGTTTATAAGGCAGGATTTCAAGTCCAATCTATGAATACAAAAGCACGGTGTGGCCCGCCGTCTCTCGTTGTTTGAAGATCTTATCACCGCCATTGTCTAGCGAATTGAATTGTCCGCTTCGTGTGCTAGGAGCGCACATTTTTACAAAAAGCGCACCACTCGCCTGTTCAAGGAAACACCCTATAACCACAAAAAGTCAAGTTTCATCGACCCGTCAACATCTATCTACGAATAAGTTAGTTTTTCAGATGCAGAACAGAAAACCATCTGTGGTGTGGACCTAAAAGTAAATGGGCAACAGTTGTTCGATATCCAATATGGGTCGGTTTGCGATAAATGTGCAAGGTCATTAGTGCCCTTGCTATTGTCCCTGACTGAGTACCGACAGTTTCAGCTGACCGGAGCAGGCCTCAACCCGGCCAGAACACTGGGACCAGCCGTTGTGTACAACGTGTGGACCAACCATTGGGTAAGTCGTAGATACAGAATTGGGATCATCAGCAGGTTTTAAGGAGTACATATTGGCGAGGTATTGGGTTCGTTATCAAAATATCATATGGTATCGGGTTTCCGGATCAATAAGGTATTCCATCACTAGAGCTCAGCCACATCTTTCGGATTCTTTTCCTCGCTACGTGGCAGTACGCTCATGACGGGCCTGATAATTATACTGTGCCGCAATGCCGCGCTATTTCCATTTTCTGCCGGTAGATGGCAGTATGAGTTTGCCGCCTAAATGATACTGCGCCGCCGTACCAACTTATTTCCATGCGTTGCCGCTAGATGGAAGCATAGGTTTGGCGCCTGAATGATACTACGCCGCAGTACCGAATTATTTCCATGCGCGGCCGGTAGATGGCAGCATGAGTTTGACGCCTGAGCGATGCTGCGCCGCACAGCAAGCGAGGCTCACCTCGCCCGACGCCTGGCCTGAAAGCTTCCCGCATTACGGCTCGCTCAAGTTTCTGATCCCTAAACTGCTACTTTCGTGGCTTTTGGGGTCTTTCAGGCGTCTCGGAAAATATCACTTCAAAGTGGTTATTCACCAGTTGATATTGCCTCTGGGCTCTGACTGCGTTCCGATAGGTAGCGTACGAAAATATCCGTTTCAAAAGCATAGCAGCAGTCCTACTCGCCACCAGAACATTCCGTGATGTTTTGAGTTTGACTGTCAAAACTGTATTTGTCAGCCAGTCTAATTACCGTCTGGCTTTGTGACCTTTTACCGCTGAGGCCGCTGAGTACCACCGCTGAGGCCGCGCCGCGCCCCGCGGCACAGTCGGCTCGGTGGCCTCACACAGGCGACCGGTGTGAATAATTCCCGTGTATCACGACAGCGTTAAACTGCACGGCCGACATCACAGCTCCGGCGGACGGTGGTGCCTCTGCACCGGTGGAGAACCTTCTCAGCCACTCGGCTGAATTCTGTGATTACAGCCACTCGGCTGTGTGCAGTGAGACTCCGAAACATGTTAAGTTTAACACTATGCTTACCTAATGGGCTAACTATTCGCAAAAGAAAACTACCACTCTCCTTCTTCAGGAGTTGCCCACCGTCTTTAGCCACCCCGTTCCAGGTGTACTGGGTGGGATCTCTGACCCCCGATTCTCCGTCTGCATCCCTCCCGTTTCAGGTGTACTGAGTGGTATATTTGACCTCTGACCCTCCATCCGTCCTCGTCCCGTTTCAGGTGTACTGGGTGGGGCCGCTGTTCGGCGGCCTCCTCGGCGGCTTTACGTACGAGTTTGTTCACGAGGCGTCACCGCGGGGTCGTCTGGTGCGCCGATCGTTCCGGAGGTCACCCGGCACCACCGGCGGGGTCAGAGGTCACCTGTCTGCCCCGATCAGAGGTCAGCCGGGCCGGGAGGTCAGCGGCTTTAGCAGCGTGGCCACTGACTGTCTCCAGCTGTCCGCCACTGAGGAGGGTGCCGCCGTGACCCGGCACTGAGGAGGGTGCCGCCGTGACCCGGCACTGAGAGGGAACTGCTGACACTGGACACTACAAACGACGCCACGCAACAAGAAAAGGGCGCAGTGTCACGAGGTTGGTGTCGGTGTGAGTCGGTGGGGGTTTGTCAGCACATACGTAAATGCACACGGTTGTGTGAATATTCAGCACGGCAGTAGGATCGATAGTAGTTGGCTCGGGAAGCTCTCCATATCGAGATGAGTCTGCAGCGGACGCGAGGTGGCCAGGACCGTCAGCTGTCTGTCTCGTGAATTCCACAAACAGCATTCGAATGTTTTGAGCGAATGTATATTGTATATCCGTTTCGTTGATTACAGTAGGTACACAATGTATCCAGTGTCATCACGCGGTGTATCGAAATGAATTAGAGCACACTGACTCAGATATCCGTGCGTCAAACACCTCACCCAGACTGACGGCAATCGAGAAGGCGGCTTTCCTCAGCAAAACAGTGCCGTGCGCAACACTGCTCCTCAAACAAACTACCGCCCAAATCTCTGGCTCGAAGTGGAGCTGCGCCCATCGCCGTTAATCATTTATGCTGATGTTGTTTGCCGGCCGACGCCGCCCCGACCGTTCGCAGTCCTGCGATTGAGTTGTTTTCCTCGCGGAGCTGACGAATCGTTCAGTCAGTTTCCCCGACTGTCAACTGTGTATCACGCGTGTTCTTTTGCTGTGGAGCTAGTTTGAGCAATCAATGTGAGTGAACTTTAAATTTCACATTCCATACTAAAATAAAATACATGACGAGAGCTTGAAAGACGCAAGAGCTTTCACAAAGCTCAGTGTGTTATGGGATTGCCGTGCAGCGACATTTCAGCTTCTCAAGAAAACAGCCGACATGATTTAGCCATTTTCAGAATGGCTTAACCTTGCAGCGGTGAGTGCCGCTTTCAGTTTTGTGGATCAGACCACGTATTCAGCCTTCGTAGCCCTCAGACAGACCGCTGCACTACATATTCTCTTACCCCTGCGGTGGTAGCTTAAGATCACTTCGCCGAGTGGGATTTTCACCGCTGATTCCATTGAAAATACTTATGTACGTACCTATAGGGCCATACCATAAAACACATGACTGTAAAACTGTTGATTAAATTGGACAGGTTAACTGACTGCATTCATTGACTGCATAGTCGATGATCTTGCATCCACATATTGTTTTCAATAACCCTAGCTTAACTGAGATGCAGGTGCACTTTCGTCCCTCGTTGACTGAAAGGCGCAGTTACTTACTCGAGTCTCCTACTTCTTAACGCTACTCAACTTGGCAACATAGGCTTTCTCCTTTATGAACAAATAACCGACGCAGTAAATGAGCTTTTACCCGAGAGCACAGACACAAGCAAGTGGCTTAAAATTAGATTTCCACTTGAGACACTTTAACCACTTCGCCAACAGAGAAAAGCTAACAACAACTAATTCCACTGCAGGCCTAGAACTGAACAAGCGACCAAAAACAAGAGCCGTCGTTTGAACAATGAACAACGACACAGTGTCAGTCACCTCCAGAACATGATACGTAGCCCTCCGCAATATAATAAATTCTGTGATCATCGTGGCAAGGTAAGTTTATTGTTTATAGAGTAAGTATGTATATGGAAAGATCATTACAAACAACACATTCTGGGACGGAAATGATCAAGGCCTATGAGGCATATTTACGCAAATCCGGCAGAATTGAGCCAGAGACCACTGCATAATTACGGAGCGAGCGAAGCGAGCGGAGTCTCATACTGAATTAAGGGAAAATCCTGAGTATGAGCGGCCGGCCGGCCGGCCGGCCGGCCGTGGGGACGCTCTTCAAAAGCTAATATCTTAGGAACGGGACATCCGATTGACAAGCGGTCTTCTTTACTGAATGTCACTTGGACGTAAAAGTTCTGTGGTGTGATGGCCACCATGCGTTCTTGCCAACCACCGCACGTGGCGCGTGGTAAAGTTGGACATTTTTAAGAACCCCCAAAATTGCAACCTCAATAACGGCACAACGGTTGGGCCGATTGAATTGAAACTCGGTACACAGTTAGGTCTCCATCAGATAATTCATCTGCATGTGTTAAGGTTGGGGTGCTACAGCACGTGCGCACGTGCAGGGGGCGCTCCCAGATCTCGAGAACGGCTGGGCCGATTGCGCTCAAATTTGGTACACAGTTGGGGACTAATTAGTAGGGTGCCGTGCAAAAGTCAGTTTGGACCCCGCTTGCACGTGCGCACGTGCAGTGTGCCGCTTCCAGATCTCGAGAACGGCTAGGCCGATTGCGCTGAAATTTGGCACATCGCTAAAGACCGGTTAGTAGGGTGCAGTGCACAAGTTAGTTGGAGGTATCCCCTCGCAATTTCGCACGTGCAAGGCCCATCCTCTCGCTCGCTCCGTTGGTCGCCCAAAAGGCGTTTTACTGGTCATTACCACGACGAACCGAAGGGAGCCACGTCACCGAAGTGACTTTAGAACGGGTGCTGAGGGCGCGGGCATACACGATGTTCTACGAAAGGGCTTTGGGAGATGGGCGTGATGGCGTGATGACTGTTTGTCCGCTCTGTATAGGTGTTTGTTTTTTGTAATAAATGTAAAGCACTGAGTTGTAAAAAGACTACTACATGCCGCATGTAGTCATAGAAATGTCTAGGATTGAGCAATCATCCGACCAGTCGATATCGGTGGATGCCGCCGCGTATGGCTACCCGAGAGCCGGTCGAGGTGCTCTGTTTGCCACGGCGCGCGCTCGGCATTACCACTGCGCAAACCCGTAAAATCACAGGATTTGGCGAAACTCCGGCGGCCCTCGCCATTATAAACCGATACACAGAGTAAAGATCGATGGCATTTCAAAACAGCATCAAAGAAATACAAACTTCCCTTCATGTTTTCAAACTACAGAATCGGGTGCACTTTATAAATTGTTAACCCTGTCAACACATGTCAGTACCTGGAAAACATTTATCATTGTAGCGTTCTGTTGTGAACAATAAATGTGCTGAGCTGTTTGGGAGCTGTTTTTTAACAGAAACCTTGCCAGTTGCCACCTTCCCGTGTCGGAGCAGTCGGCGGAGCTGGGGCGGCTCGCCTGATCCCCCTGATCCCGCCTGACGCGACGGGGCCGTCATATCCGGCGGGTGTCACCGGGAGGCCCTCGGCGCGGCCACCGCCGGATCCGCCACAGACCACAGACCACGCTGAAAGATGAACGGCTCGTGACAGAGACGAACGGACTGTAGCATAAACTAATCGCCTAAGCGGCAGTAGAGCGAGCCGTGCCACAGCCGGCTGACTACCCACGCAGTCGATCCGGACACCTCCGGTGCCGCCGACAGCTGCGGTCGACAACAGTACCGACCCGCTCCGGTTCGGTAGATTGTACTGCGGTTTGGGATTTACGGCATTGCTGACGGCACGGTCGGCTCCGCGGCTCGACAGCGCCGTACAAATGAGCGGTGCCTCTCGGAATCCCCGGCCAATCACAACTGCACAGCGATCACCGCTTCCGTGGATATACCAGGCCACGTGCCGTGTGTCAATGTAATTCCGGCGAAATTTGTACTCCAAGTAGAAACGAAATCGACTACAGGCCGTTTATTTACAAGTCGTTTCGGTCGCTTTTGCGATGTGCTAATCCCATTGCTATGCTAGCGAGCATTGTAACACGTCTAAGAAACGATTACTTTGACGCAAAGTCGCTAATCAGAACACATGTCAAGGGGGAGAACGCACCTCTCGTCAATAACGCCTGTAGCTTTGAGCAAAATGCAGTAAATGAAGGTAATTGTTGACATGATCCCCAAACAGCCGAATAGGTGATGGTAGCATTTAACGCATACCTACATGCTACAGCATCTTCAACCGGTGAAGAAGTCGCGAACTTTACATGCATCCCAGCTCAGCAACGACAAGTCGATCAACGCAAGCATAACCGCCAGAAACACATTGGCGTGGTGACGGAAGGTGTCGTCTTTGGAGCGCGCCTCCACCATTGACCACACGTGCCCCCACAGCGGCGGGGAGCTCTTGGTCAGGAGCGTGCCGGCGGCTCTGAGCAGCGCCGAGCCGATGGCCTGCAGCGCCGGCCAGCAGCACCTCCAGACCGGGCGCCATGACTTGAGCACCCAGCGCACAGTGCTCCAGCGCACGGCCAGGTTCTGGCGCATCCAGCGGCGCGCCCAGGTCCGGTAGCCGGCCAGGTCCCAGTAGGCCACAGTTGAGTCCGCGTGGCGTCAGGTGGGCGGCCAGTGCGACAGCGGCCTCTGCCGCCTCTCGTGGTCCCACTTGCGCTCCCACTGGTCCACCCACGAGTCCATGTCCAGGTCGTCCAGCGCCGCGGTCGCTGTGCCGTGCCGCGAGTGCGAGTGGCTCCGGTGGCGGCGCCGCTCCGGCGGTGCCAGCTCTCCGCGCGGCGTACGCGACACCAGCACGAGGGGGACCTTTCTGCGACTGTCGGCCGGCCAGCGCAGCTGGCTGGACGAGCTCTCACGCGCGCCGGCCGGCCTCCGCTGCTTGCTGTGCTCCTTGGCGAGCCTCTGGTGCGTCTTGACGTCGGCCGACAGCCGCTGGTGTACGCTGCAGTCTCGCCGCGGCATCGGCAGATCGCGGTCCAGCGAGAGCGACACGCGCTGCTGAGGCGCGCCGCGCTCCGACGGCGGTCGGTGGGCCGGCAGGTCGGCCAGCGGGTCCGCCGGGTGGCGCGTGCCCAGCTGGGCCAGCGCCTTCCTGCGCACCCCGTCCAGCACAGCGCTACGCCCGTGCTGGTGCTCGGCCGGCTCCGACGCGTGCCGCGGGTGGCCCTTGGAGCGGTGTTCGCCTCGCTCGGCCCGGCGACCGGCTCGCTCTTCAGACGGGTCGCTACCGCTGGACACCGCCAGCAGCCGGTTGATGTGCTCCATCACCTCCGCCTGCTTCCGCGAGCGACGCATCCGGCGCCGGGCGTCGGCGCTCTCGCGCTCCGGGGTGGCGTAGAAGCGTTCGAGGGCGATCTGCTCGGCCGCCTGACCGGTGGTGAGGTAGCGGTTCCACTTTTCGCGCTCGCCGGGTCGCGGCGGCGCCCAGCTGTAGCTCGGCGACCAGTCAGACCGGTCCGAGTCGTCGTTGCGCGTATCGGCCGTGTAGTAAGTGCCGTTTGTGGGAATCGGCTCCACATAGTCCGGGTCGTTATGCTCGTGTAAGTACACATCCTGCCATGGCTGGCCAGATTTGATGTACTTCTTCCAGTCCATGCCGGACGAGACGCTTCTGCGGCCGCTCCGGCTCCTGTCTCGCTGTCGCTTGAAAGTGGGGACAAAGTTTTTCGTTTGCTCGGGAGCTGTAATGTCAGGGAAGAACGCCTGAGGCGACACAGGCGATGGGGACAGTGTCCTCTTCGTCACTTCGGTTCTGGTGATTTTCTTCTCGGCAAGCTGCTGATTGCGAAGTGTGAAAAGTTTTCGCTCACGAGGGGATATAGAACGGTGCCTCTCCTTTTCCTTGGGGCTCTGCTTACGCAGTGCCGCCAGCTGCTTCCGCTGCACGCTCGCTCTGTTGTCACGTGGTTTCAGCTCCAGTGGGGGAGGCGGTCTCGACAGGGCAAACTTCGAATCTTCAGACGACTCCTTGTAGTCGAATGTGTCGACTTTATCAAACGACGGCATCCGCTTTAATGTTGGCGATGTTTTCCTGATTCTACTTCCAACATTACGCGAGGGACTGAGCGTCCGTTCGATAAAGCCCGAGGCGTCTTGCCCTGAGCGTGACTTTGTGGCTTCGGGCTGCGTTGTGTTCGCTCCAGCGCCACCCTCTGCCGATTGTTCCTGCCGCAGCGGGGACGGGGAGCGGCCGGTGGCAGAGCGACTCGGCGCCGCGCTCACGCTCTGAATGGGCGGTTTGGACGTCACCTTTTCAGATGTTCCACTAGCACGCCTTGATGGTATTGGCTTCATAGAAAACGGGTTGGCAAACAAGCCTCCAGTCTCAACGGCTTTGGCAGCCAATGTCCTTTTCATATCCTTGCTAAAAAGCTGATTGGAGTCAGAACTTGTTTTAGACGTCGTTTTTGAGCTGTCTGCCTTTGCTTTGGTTGATTGATGTTCCGAGCTTGATAAGCTAGACACAATTATTTTACTTGAACCTTGCACCTTTGTTTCAAAGATTCCGCCGCCTTCAATAGATTCAAAGTAACTGCTCGCAAGTCGATTAATTGATGTTTCGCTTGAAGAACGAGTCCGTTCTCGAGCAGCGGGTCCTTCTTTCAATCTATTTCGGTGAGCGATAGTCATTTTTAACCTACCGTACTCCTCTAGGGCACGGGTCAAACGCTTACATTGACACATCTGTGCCGCATCTTCGGCCAGTATTGAATTTGTCAGCAGCAAAAACGACGGATCTCTAATAAGACTTGTGGCGCTTCCAGTGCCCTTATCAGCGACAGCTTTAACCTGTGATGCATGGTTGAGTTCCTTCAGAACTGACGACGCCACGTCTTGGCCAGACTCCTTCGAGGCGAGGTCCCGTTCTTCCGTGTTTGCTCCCGAGCTGGTGGCTATAGAGGGCGGAGTCGGCGGCGGCGCCGTCGGAGGGCCCGTGTCGAGCAAATAGGACCCGCTCACGCCCCACTGAGACAGGTCGGATGTTGTCGACAGCTGCTTTGTATGAGTTCTAATGTTGTTTTGAAGAAACTCCTCAGATCTAGCCCGGATCACTTCATCGCCGAATCGGGTATAAGAGATCTTCTTCACCACGCCAGACGTGCTAAAAGGCTGAGTTGTGGTCGAGTCGTTGCTTGTTTTCTGAACTAATGTAGCGTTTTGTCCACACTCGTCCAAAGTCCTCCGCCTCGGGGGAACAGGAGGGGCACTTCTCGATAGTGTTGATCGGTTCGCCGGCGTTGGACGCGGTGAATCAGGGATGCTCCGAAACGTCACACAGGAGCCATCCTTGGTGACCCACTCTCTGTCGCCCGACTGCTCCTTGTAGTCGCTCTGACATGGTCTAGGTGACATGATATCGTCCAAGTTCAGATCCATGCATTTCAAGATCTTCCTGGCGATCTCCACAGTGTTTTGTTCTTTCGTATCACCTTTCATCGCGTTTCCTTCTCTGATTAGAAGCTTTACCACACGAAGTATGGTGCCGACCTGCGTCTCCCTCTGTTCCAATCTGTTCTTCTTGTCGATGACCTCTTGCTGGTATTCCGCCAGCCGCTGTTGCAGCCTCTCGATTTCCTGAGGATATTCCGTGGTCAGACGTTCCAACTCCTTGGAATGTTCCGCTTCAAGTCGAGAAATAACCTCTTTTTGTTGCTGTGAGGCAGTGGCAAGCTTCTCCCTAAACTTCTGTTGCATGGTCTTTGTGTACGTATTTATTTGTTCGCGTACAACTGTTTCAAGATGCGCAACTTTTCTTTGAAATTCTGCAACTTTTTCTTGTACGATTGTTTCCATCTGCTGTTGGTAATAATCCTTGAGTTTCAATTTTTCCATTTCAAGACATTCAATCTTTTCGTGATCTCCTTGTCTTAATGTGACCAGCTGCTCCTTCGATTGTCTTTGGTATAACTGAACATCTCTCTGCATTTCATGAATTCGATCTATCAAGCTTTTGAGTTCCTCCTCGAATCGATCTTTCTTTTCTGTCTCCTCTTTAAGTTTTAGTTCAGCCGCTTGCAACTCTCGCCTCAATTCCACTTGACCATGTTGTGCTTCACTAAGCTTGGCCAAGTAGAGATCATTCAGTTGCTTCATTTCCGCACAGGTGTCCTTCCAATTTGTTGAGCCATCCAAGATCTCACATTGGCATGAACCGTCTTGTTTGTCCGTGAATTCTGGCGAAAAATACTCCGAGCCTGACGCAGATTCAATATCAAACTTATGACTACTCAAGATCGATTCGTTCGACTTGCACCTAGTTGGATCAATTTTTATCGATTCGTTGCTGTTACCTGGAGTATGGATGCTCTGGTAGCTTTTCATGTTTGATGACTCACTGTCGCTCACCTTAGGAAACTTAGCAGCTTTGGTATCCATAACAGGACATTTAGGGGCCAACAATGTTGAATTTGTCCCAGCTTCTAACTGTTGGCGCCATTTCTTAGCAGCATTCAAGATTTTCAGCTTCTTCGACTTTTCCTCTGCCAGTTTTTGTTCAATATCTTTCCGGGCACGTTTTTCCTCTTGAAGCTGCATGTCCGTCTCCTCCAGCAGCTCTCGAACAGAGCTAGGCTCGGCGACCAAAGACGATGTCGTGCGATCTCTCCCATCAGCTCCCATAGAAAAGTGAGACGTGGCGTTACACGAGGCTCCAGCTGTGGATCGTTCCCTGAGACCTCTCTCCATTCTAACGTTCCTCACGCATTCATCTCGTAGGGACTCTTTCAGAAGAAAAATGGCAGATTCTTGTTCCGATATCTTCTCTTTTGCACTCAACAGCTGCATTCGATTTTCTTCACTATTTTTCGTTGTCTTTTGTAACTCAGTTCTGACTTTGAGAAGCATTAGTTTTGCAGTTTTTAGATCACACTTCCGTGCCCTCTCCTGATAAATCTTCTCGGATATCTCTTTGGTATTTGAGGCGAGTGAGAGATTTTGTCGTTCAAGTACACTTATCGTTTCCTCCATAAGCTTGAGAGTGTTCTCTGTTTCTATCATCTCCCTCTCTAAGCCTGTGTCACATGCACTGCTTTCTAAATTCACTCGTTGCTCGTGTTGTTCATGACGAGAAGTTCGGTGGTCTGACTGATTGCTCCCTTTCGCTTGATCGTCTGAATGGTGACTCGACGGGTTAGAACGTGCACTGCGAGGTGATATGGAGCAGGACAAGTTGCTGCCACGTCCATTTTCTGTTGCTGGCGAGTCGATTTTCAAAGGATGATGAATTCCTGGGTGCGAGAGTTCTGTCTTTTCATTGATGGCCTCATCATTGACAGATGTTAGGATGATGTCATCTTTGGCTAGATTGGAATAATTCTGACGGTCTGACGAGGTAACATCTTGTTCATTGGCCTGCTGACCCAGCTGCACTCCGTGTGGCGAAGGAGATCTATTTCGCACAGGCGAATCCATCGAACAGAACGACGTCTTGCTGCTTATCATTAGCTCTTCATTTCTTGGATGCGGAGTGCCTGGTCTCATCGGTGAGACGTTCCTCGTTCTTTTCTGAGGAATAGGCTTTTGAACGAGTGTGTCTTTTTCACACACGAACGGTCCAGACATGGCGCGTTTCATGGGCGTCGGAACTGAGGCTGAAGCCACTGCTGTTTCAAGTTCGCGCCGAGTTTTACCATAATCACCTGATGAAGTATCTTGAGAATGCACACCGGAAGAGCTTGTGACTGGTTCAATGTCTGTCGTGGAATCCTCTGCCGGTTTTGTTGTCAAATGCTGCGGTCCAGCTACCTGTGGAGGTGGACTCACGACTCTAGAATGTCTTTTTATACAGAAAGAATCATCGTCGGCGGTTGTACCCCAGGTTGCAGGCAGTTCATTCACATTCGTTGCCGGTACCGAAGACATTGGGGCTTGTTGAGGATCGCAGCGAAGGTGATTGAACGGACTATGTCGCAGCGGACTGGACCGCGCACTTCGCGGCGACGAGGACTGGGACCTGCCATAGCCTCTGCGCTTGTCCGACACCGCTGGAGAGCTCCTGCGCGGACTGAGGCTGGGCGTGCCGAAGTTGGACAGCTCCGCGGCTCGTGGCGATCTCTTCAGGCTGTGCAGTGAGACGGACGACCCGCCGGCGGATCGCAGGCTGTCCGGCGTGGCCGAGCGCGGTCGGTCCGGCGTCGTCTGCGCCGTCTGGTAGAACGAGTGTCTCTCTGGCGTTGGGGAGCGAGACGAGCGCACGGCGCTCTCTGATACCATCCGCACGGGAACGGGAAGCCGCGAACGAGGAGACGGCGTTCGGCCTCTGTCGGGAGAGGAGGATGAATGTTTTACACGAACTGGCGAGGACGGTGGAGCCGATGGAACAGACCGTCCTGGCGATACGTGCTCGTAGCGACGGTGGCGTTCGCTGGTGGCCGAAGGCACGGCAGAATGGTTCGCTGTGGACTGCCTATCATGCTGGTCTTGCCAAGAATTCTCCCCGTGTCTGTGATTGATCTCAGCGTCGGGATGAGGAGCACTTGGACAAACTGTTTGAATACGACCAGGCCTGGATCGGTTTGCAGTAGCCGCTACAACAGGCACGGTCGTGGACGGGTATACAATCTGTCTGGCCGCTTGTGGCCACAAATCTGTCGACGACATGCTGCCGGTACTAGTAAGGAACACGACGCTCTCCTCCGCCTGGCACCGCTGCGCGTGAACATCCAGCGCGGCGTAATCCCGGCGTCCTGAGGAGCCACCACTGACCTCACTACCTCTGCGGGGGGTAACGACAGGCACTGACCTGGCCTCCGGGACAGGTCGTCGATCCGTCAGCGGCTCATCAGACCCGCCGCCTTGTGAGCGGGGAGTGCCACTGTGCGGCGACCATACGCTCACCGGAGTGTTGGTCAGCCGCCGGCCGCCGCCACCCGCCGCCGTGGGCTCCAGCAGGCCCCTGATCAGCTCCTCCACCCCCGAGAATAGGTCGCCGGTCCTGCCGTCCCTCGGCGGTGATATGTCGCGGAAGCTGCGCACAGAGCCGTCCTCGGCGCGCACGCTGACGTCCACCTTGACTGACATGAGTGTGGGTGCGGCGCTGACGCTGCTGCGCTCCAGCGGGCCAGACGAGACGGAGACGGTGGCACCAGCGCCACCGGCCGACGGCGGTGTGCCCGCTCGCTGCGCCGGTGTCAGACGCTTCGGTAACACCCTGGCTGAGGACGTCGCGGCGCGCTTTGGTACGGAAGACTCGTCACTGGTCTGTTTGGCAGTTGAATTCTCAGGATGAAATTTCGCTGTCTTCAATGCCGTCGCGGAGGCAATATTCTTAGCTTTCTTTGGGCTACCGGGGCGACTTCGTTGTGGAAGGTTAGAAGCATCTATTGGATCCCTGTTAACCGGGATTGGCGTACTCTCGGCATTACGTACACATTCATCTGCTTTTAAATCATAATCCACTTTATCCGAAGCTTTCTTATCGGTGACACTCTTTGTCTTCGACTGCGGTTTCGACTTTTCTTCTATTTCATTAGCCTTATTTCCTGAATTTTGAACAAAAGCTTGTTTAGAATACGAGTTACTTTCTGATGCCTTCACACATGCATGAGGCAGAGAGGATGACTCACGAGCGGTGGCACAACTTCTCACCGGCGACCTCACTTTGTGCGGTGGCGAGCGAGGCTTCACTGGCACCCGCTCTGGAGATAACAAGTGTTTCACGGCGTAGCTCACGCCACCAGCATCCTTCTTGCTTTGTCGTTCAGCAGGTGCGGACTTCTGTATCGATGGTCTTGGAATCTTAGTGCTTGAGCTCCGGCTTCTTCTTACTGTGGTGTTCGCATCATCAGTGCACCTATTATTCATTATAACACAGCTCTCACTCCTACTGCTGGCCATTTTTCCTTCCAGCCTTGTCCGATAAAAGCGAGGAAGCTTAGTTGCCTTGAAAGTCGGTTTACCGTTGACATTTCTAGCCTGTGGTTTTGAAGCCTGCTTGGCTTTACTGCTTTCATCCAAAGCTTTTCCTTCTGAATTGGGAGTGGTTGATTGAGTTGGTTGAGCCTTATCAGTTGAACACTGATTTGCCTGACATTTTCCTTCTGCTGGCTTCTCTTCTTGTCCCGACCCTGGCAAAGCTTCTTGTTGGTTTTGATCAATGTCGCTCTTATTCTTTCTCAGCCAGCCTTCATTAAGCAACCAATGATCAGAGAATGTGTCACATGACGCAGCTGCGCTTTTCGATTGTTGTTGGTCTCGCTCGGGGCTCTGATCAGCTGGCTCGACAGGCCTGTGTATACTCCGAAACAAAAGCGCGCTCTTTGATCGGATATATGACCCTGGCTTCCTCGGAGAATGCAAGTGACTGGTTGATGCAGATTGTGAAAAGAATGAGGCGGTGGTTGGTTCTTCCGAAGCTGATCCGATCGTCACATAATCGTCACTGGCAGCGACACTCGCCAAGTCACTGACGTTTCTTCGAAACTCGGGAAGTGCTGAATCTGAGGGTATGCACCGCATTGACCGCATAACATGCATGTTTTGCATGTCTTTCTTGACAGTTGCTATGTCAATAGCATCAAAGGCGCTATCTTCGTTCGTTGCTCGAAGTTCGGTCGTTCGATCGTTCGGGTCACACGTGTTTGAGTTGTCTGGAATGATGGTCACAAAACTTTGAACCAAGCTTTCCATTATCATTTCTCGAGTTTGCTCAAGTCTATCTTTGGTTGGCGAGAAGTCAGACAATACATCATTCATCACATCATCACTTGAATCAGTTATAAATAACCCATCTTCGGAATCTGACTTATTTATCAAAACGTCAGAATCAGAGTAATGCACGGAAGGAAACTGATTTCCATTTTGAGCAGGCCCGTTACTTGGGCTTATGTCGCGTGCTGCGGTGCCTGGTTGTGTTTCAAGGATTGCTTCGTGAACATTATTGTCATTATTTTCCATTCTTCTTTGCTGATCCATAGCTGAGTGAATGCAAGCCGTTGTCCTGTGATGAAAAGTAAACTGACGTGCTACAAATTTAAACCAAATTTATGGACAATGGCCAATATTACTGTCAATATTAACTAATTATAAAAGAGACTTTACTGCGTTAGTAACATATTTTAATTAAACGTTTCTAAAGCACATCATTTAACGACAAAAAAGTTTTGTTTCCATTGTAATCAAAACTTCATGTGTTCACCTTTACGAAGAAATAATTAAGACTTGAAAATTGCATGCGTTTCCCATTTTTGGGGCGCCTCTCATGTATGTCTTCTTTTGGAAATTGTTGAGCGCCATGTTGGTACGCATACAAACTTGTGCAAAAAGCATTTAAGTATTCTATTTATAAATTATATGTTTTGCGCTTTCATTTTGTAACATTACCTACATCTGAGTTTATCTGGGCTTATGATGACTAAATATTGAAGCAAATGTGTTCTGAAAGTTCATTCTACAAAGGATAGGTACAGGACAATATCCAAATGTACCTAATATTATTTAATCATTCACTTCCATGAGATATTCCATGAGTATTTTTTTTTTTCTTCAAATAACCAAAACATGAACGAGGATTATGTCACATATACATACAAGACGATAAATGTCTTGACAACGATAGGTAGGTAGTTTCAATTAGGCACTAATTACGGAGTGAGCGAAGCGAGCGGAGTCTTTCCTTAGATTAACGGAAATTTCTGAGCATGAGCGGCCGGCCGGCCGGCCGTGCGGACGCTTTTGCGAGGCTTATATCTCAGCAACCACTTGACCGATTTACATGCAGTACCTAATTTTTGTAGGGTAGCTTCATTCCTTCTACCAAGCATTGGACTATTCCCGATGCATGTGGGTGACCCCTTATGCGCGTGCCACGTGCAAAACGAAGATGTGTCATTTTTGTAATTGTTGCAATATCTCGGTAACTACAGGGCCGATTGCGCTGAAAGTTGGCATGTGGGTAGGCACCCACTAGGCAATGCATATCCATGTGCCAGAGTTGGGGTGCTACTGCACGTGCGCACGTGCAGGGTGTCGCTTCCAGATCTCAAGAACGACTGGGCCGATTGCGCTCAAATTTGGCACATCGCTAGAGACCGGTTAGTACTTAGTAGGGTGCCGTGCACAAGTCAGTTGGAGGTACCCCCTCGCAATTTCGCACGTGCAAGGCCCACCCTCTCGCTCGCTCCCGTTAGTCGCCCCAAAAGGCGTTATACTGGTGTAAATGGTGAATGAATGAAACACACCCATTGTACTCCCGGAGCTGTTCAGTGAAGGAGTAATGCCAACTGGATGACTACACGGCCTGAAGTTCTCGGCAAAACCGTTATTGTTGGTCTCCACCCACGGGTCAGAGGCCATGCAAGTGCCTTATCCTATCCATCAGGCCAGCACCATTTCACCTTTCTTGGGTTTTCACTTTGGTCCATTTGAACGTCCAATTTAGAGCCGTAGTATGTAAGGAAAGGGAGAGTAAAACAAAAATCTGGTTGTCATTATAGCAGTCCGTTTCCCCATGGCGGGATGCTCAAGGAGTCCTTGAGACCGATCGGGACCAGTTGAGGTCCAGGATACTGTCAAGTCGGCGACACGCGTGCCCTCTACATAGTGCAAACGGGTCCGATACCGGCCAGGCAGCGCTAGTGAGCGGGGGACGGAGGAACGCACCGGACAGCAGTGGCGACGCTGGCCTCCTGGCGGGATGGAGCCGGATCATTGCCCACTCCGGTGCAGGACGGCACCTTCAGAACGAGCTTGTCTCGTGCAAGGTCCTCTTGAAGAGCATGTGGAGATACAAACCAGCATTACAGAAAAAATTGCGGATTGTATTGTAGAATGATTTTCAAGCTAGTCAGAAATGTCCCCTCTTCACAGCCAAGTCATTCAATACACTTACGTTGAGATCAGTACTTCCCAACTTTCTTGATTCGTCCTGTTTCCTCAGGAGCAGCCCGTTGTCATCATACGATCCCTTCTCCCTCTTCCGAGGACCGAGCGAACAGTCGCCCCTCAAGTAGGCGGTGAGTGCAGCGCACCCCTCCGATGTGACTGCCTTTCTGTGGCCTCTTCCACAGCAACGGGATCACCAACAGCGGCTAACGTTGAATAAACCCAATGCCTGCCTCTTCTCTTCTCGCCGCACGGTCCTACAACTAGCTTGCTACGCTCTTTTTCCCACCACTCCGCGACGTCGCTGCTGGGCGCTCTATAGATGACGCTGCGACTGCTGCGCAGCCCGACCGAGCCGCCGTATCGTGGGTACTCGGCCGGGCTTCGGCGTGGGTCACCGGCAGCGCACGACGGTGGGCCAGTCTGTCGGCTGCCGCTGCCGGGGGCGGCAGGCATTCTGAGTGGAGAATGGGTGTATACTGTTGGGGAGGGAGCACTCGCGGCGTGACGAGAGTGGGTGCGTGGATGGACGAGTTTTGGTTGGTGAAGTGTGAATTGTGTTGACATTAGACAAGCGCACGTTATTCTGTACAGTCACTAGAGTAGTGTATCGTGCAACCAGTAACTAGATAACGATCGGTGAGTGGCGGCCAGATCGTGACGTTCAGTGACAATCCGTGATTTATAAGTGACATTCGGTGATGATCGGTGAGCGCGCGGCGCCGTCCGGTGACCTGTGACCCTGCCGGCGGCCCGGTGACCCACGCGGCGTACATTGAGCGGTCCAGTCGGCCGGCGGTGCTCGCGCCGCCCTGCGCCACCATGCTATCGCTCCTTGTTCCCGGGGATGAGTGCGATTTCAATCAGAACTCTGTCAGCAATGGCCGGCTCAACTACCGTACCACAAACGCCCTAACGGCCTCCAACCACCTCACAGCGCCACATCATGACACCAAGCTCTCCCCCAACAACAACACCGTGTACGGACCGGCCACAAAGACACTGTCCGCGCTGGACAACCGGCCGGCGTCGCTCCCCGGCCCCGGTGTCGACTCCAGCGGCGATGACGCCGTCAGCGGCTCGCTGATGACGTCTCCGGCAGCCTATGATGACGCCTCTGACGAGCCGATGAGCCCGGCCGAGCGGCAGCCGCCCTCCCCGGTGACCCGACCGGCGGCGACCCGACGAGCCTCCAGCCTGGCGCCGCACCCGACCCGGTCCGGAAAACTCAAAAGGTCAGTTATTGCATCTGTAGGTCGGTATAGAACCTATCGGAGGGGATCCGACGAATCCCAATAATAGCTGTTTCGGGTTAGTTATTGCCATTCATTGTATCCGACGGTTACAAGTTGGAGTGTTTTTAAGACAATCTTGGACAAGTTCTTAAACTCTAAGCGATTGGTGACAGTTTTAGAAAGAAACGACTTCAAAACTCACGAGCAAATACAAATATGAGCATCATAAGTAATTCGGTTTACGGCATCGATTCGCATGGGATCGTCACAGTTCTAGTAAAACGACACTTGGGTATGACACCCATTCGGCTCTCATGTAATGATTCACTCAAGTGGAATTCAATGCAATATTTATCATTGTGTTGCCAACCATCTACTTCTGGCAAACGTGGCCAGTGTTGGCTTGCTGTGGCCAGCAACTGAACTGCCAAGACCAAGAACTGTTTATCGGGTCACCCATGCCACGGCACCCTCCACATGGATCGGTCCTCACGCGGCGGTGGCGGCCGAATCGTTGCAGCCATCGACCCGACCGTTGCACCGTTGATGACGTCAACGGAACTCCTAAGTTATACAGTGTGGCGGCAGCAGCTCAGAGAATACCTACCAACGCCACGGAATATTCCATGGAAGGTGCGAATCGATAGAAACAGCTCGTGCTCCGGATTTCATGGGCGGCCTGCGCCGTTCCAGTCCATAACTACAGCCGTGCTCAACAAATAAACACAGGCACAGCGTGGAAAAAGGAACGACGCCAGCGGGGCTAAAGCCAACAAGCATATCTTCCCCTAACTTCAACAGGGTGGTATCAATCCGCTTCCAACGGCGCCATGAGCCTCGTCGATCAGTAACTTCAGGCGGAAGGGAATACGGAGATAAGGGAGTTGGACGCGAAGGACACGTGAGAGATGATTCCAACCCTTTCGTGTGTCACGGTTAACGTGACTAGTGTCATGTGACGTGATCATGACGCATCGTGACGTGACCACGCCATCATAATTGGGGTGACAGTCGAGCTGAGCCAGAGGCTCCTCGGACCCGATAATTGCACTCCAAACAGCTCAGCAGCTACCATCCAAACCACATCGACAGATCATGACTGGGATGATACTAAATCCAGTGCGAGCCCCACACCATTTGAGGTCCCTTTGTCTGACTTCCTGAGAACGGTGTCGGTCTAGCTGAGGCTTCTCACGACATAGCACGAAGCCACGCATCGCGCCGAAAAACGCACCCCAGTGCGCCATTCTTGTGCAGTTTTTGCGCATCCTGTTTCACCGTTTCCCGGATGAAGCCGGACATTAAGTGGTCCAATCCTGTCCCGTCCAATACCGTCCTGATAACTACTACCAAGCGCCAGCACACCACGCGGAGCGCCGCTCAGGTCACAGGTTCGGTGGAACCATCGGTTCGGCGGCCGGCCCCGCCGTGTGTATCGTGCCGGGGTCGGAGCGCCGGAGCGCCGTCAGCCGACGCCGGATGATTTCCGGCCCCACCGTGTGGCCATTGTGCTCCCCGGGGGCGGACAATGGTTCCCGTGTGCCAGCGGCCACCGGGCGCCGCCCTGTCGGCCCGACACCCACCACCGCGCCATTGACAAGCTTCGATTGATATGGCGCGGATGAACGGTCGCGCGTTGGCGACCTTCAGGTCAGGTCAGCAACGTGGACGAGATGGGTCGTCGGCAGCGAGTGCCAGTGGGGTCGCTGGGTGACCCGTTACGCACGATGTGCCGTTTTGAGGGCAAACGACGCGGAAGAACGGTCGCGAGGCGCGGATAACCTTCTGCAGTCAGTTCAGGTCAGGTCAGGTCAGTGCCGCGGGCGGGCCATCGGCAACAGCGGGTGTCAGAATGCCCGGTGACCCGCTCCGCGCAGTATGTCGTACTCCGGGCAGGTAGTGGACTGTCCTGTCGTGTCCCCTCTGGCCGACGTACTAACGACATTGGCACCGTCCCGTTTGGCAGCTCGCGGTGAGGGCACAGTGAGGGAGTGGGCCGACAGATGTGTCACGGACGCTGGACTGTGATGTTCGGTGATTCATCCATCCCCTGTTCAAAGAAGGACCACCAACACAACACTGGCATGGCGTCGTAAGCCGGACGGCGCATCTGAGAAACGTCACGATAAACACAGCTACCCTTTGTCTGGATTTATAAATCAATCTTAAATTAGCCCGAATTACGAGCGAACGAATACGTCAACCGCGAAGGAAATGTTCAGAATGGAGGGGTGGGCGGAAAGTTCGCAAAGCTGCGAGCCCATACAGAGTAGTTTGAGAACAAAGATTCTACAGAACTGAAGCAAAACACCGCTGTGATGTCTCGCGGTAATCGAGCGTGACCGCTGATCGTTCCGTCGAGGAACGACTTCCGCTGGGGAGATAACAACCTCTGACATCATCAGCGACCTTAGTAGACGGTATAACGGTTAACAACACTGCCGTTTGGGACCCGGCTGTATTCAGCTAGGTATATGCGGCTACCCGCGCCATCTCTTCACTGGTCAACATCCCACCAAAATGCAAACCAGGGAAGTTCAACATTAGGATACCATCTCGATGGACGATGGGCTCCATGGTCTATCATCAGAGTACCGAAAGAGGTCAATAGAAGAACCACATCACTCTCCTTGTGGGATACACTCCCCTCCGGCGGCTTATTAGACCAATTCCTAATGGGATCCGCCACCGCACGCGGGAGCCAGTGACCGCTCCGGACCGCGGTCTGCGGCTCCCCCGCCGCAGCGCATGTGTAATCAGCTAACCAGATTAGACGTCAGATGCCCGCCCTCCGCCCGCACTGCGGCGGCCCACTGCAGGTGGGTCATCGGCGGGTGGATACTCCGTCAGAGGTGCGTATACGTATACGCAGTGCACAGGACGAGAAACAGACAGACGGGTGTCTGATCCGATGGTGATCGAGTGCCGCTTGCTACACCCGTGCCACGCGCTTAGTGAGCTGCATTACTTACCTTAGTGTCAACTTGTTCATCTGTGCAAGGGTTTGCAACGTTCAGGCGAGAAAGCTCGCCGATTATCATCGAGCCAATGTCCCGTCATGTAATTCTATAAAATTATGAAACATTGTCTCTGGCCGCAACTCCGGCCAAGTAACATTACAAAAATCGCTAATATATGTACTCAGCAGCACTCTGCTTTATTTGTATGTTTATGGCGGACGACGCGACATGATTTGATTACTGCTCTTCAGACGACCCAACTGAAACATTCTCCTCACATCCACTCCAGCCATTATCTTCAAGGATCATCACAAGATCCGCGCGGCGCCCCACCCCCTCCACTCAGGGACGGTAACGGCCGGGCCACGTCACGGGTCGCGTCACGGCCGTGGTGCCGGTAGATAACGGACGAGGGCCCTCGTCACGACAGGACAATGAGCCGCACTGTGAGACAGCGCCGGGTATCACGGTCAGACAGTGTTGGCCTGTTTGAATGTCCGGCTACGATGTGTCACGGCGGTAGAGCGGGGTGCTGCCAAGTCGTGCAGTGACCGGGCGTCACGGTAACGCAATGTTAAAATTAGTGATGTCAATTACAGAAAATCGGAATACCGATACCAAACCCAATACCAACCAAAACCGTGAGGAAATACCGAAACCGAACCAACCAAGGAACATGAGGCAAATACCAAATTTATACCAATTTATCAGCCTCTTATATATTGGTGAGGGTTCATAATACCAACAAAATACCAAATAAAGGAGGATTGAAATACCAAATACCAAATTGGTATCGGTTTGTTATCGGTATACCAAAATGTTAGTATCCGATTGACATCTCTAGTTAAAATGCAGGGTCATGTATAACGGTCCGATGGTCCTTGGTATCACATTGGTATAATTGAGTCATCATCACTGTATGGCCGTCAGGTGGATTGGATCTGTTGGGACCCCATCTCACTGTCCGCTAACCGAGCGGCAGGTATCACGGCGGTACTGTAGAGCCCTGTCTGTCCGTCCGGTTGCCAGATATTATGGAGACATTGGAGTGTTGCCAGACGGTAAATTAGGTCGTTAGTCAAGGTAGCGTATGTGGGCCTGCCAAGCGCCCTGATAAAGCCTCCTCATGACGCATTTCAGTCAAATGTAAATAGAGATATTCTAGGACTGATGCGCCTACCATGCTTCATGTAAGAAAATTTTAACGTCATATTTATTTCGTGATAAAATACGGAGAAAAATTATTTTTTCATGCGTTGCTAAGCACGCAAAAAAACATCTCCTTTTAGACAGGGAAAGTAATTAATTATCCAACATGCCACCCTTTGCTCAAAGTAAATAATAAAACCGCATCTTCATAATCATGAAATATAAAGAAATTGTCGGGAGAGATCTGACTTGTGTGTCAATCCGTCACGCTTGGAGCCGTCACTATTGAACAGTCAGTCACCACATTAGCACCTTACCACTGACACATTCCCACGCCCCGAAAATTCCTCCGAGGAGGGATCAATCTGACCACGGGCAGCGGCACGCGGTGTTCAGGGGCATTAGCCGGTCCCCGACCCATGAATGACCGAACAGCACCGCGGCGCCGCGGCGGTGGAGGTAGCGATTCATCACTGGAGTGCACGCACGGTCAACACGCACCCCAAAGCGCTCGGGGCACATCGACTGCTCCGCGGGGAAGGGGGTGGCGGAAATCAGTGCCGTGACCGGACAAGCGGAGTGCCTTAGTAGGGCTCCATTGGATGATGAATGGTCGATAGTAGCATGATTGAGATGGGAGCGGTCCTGGAAGAAATGTGACAGAGACGAGCGAGGGCAGCTGCAGTGCAGAGCGATGGAGTTCCCACATTGTTGCTGCGTGTCGATTCAGTGTGTGAAGGTAATACCAAGGCGATAAAAATTGGGCACAGGGCCAATCTCGCCAAGTAAACTCAATTTTGGGGTAGTTTTTTTGTAGTAACGTAATGGGGTAGTTTGGTAGTTTACCACAAATTGAGTTTACCACAATCTGGTGAAATTGGGCCCAGGAGG